TTTACATGTCACTACGTTTAAATAGGTTGACTTGGAACAATTTTTTCGTGGTTTTTGTATTAGACCGTCCATTCGTCGTCCATTCGTCCATCGTCGTCCATTTATTTGTAAGTCAACGTCCTCTACTTTTAATTTAAAAATACCCGCAATAAAGGTGATGACGCAACATTCAATTGTTCATTTGTTATATAATCATTGTTGTACACAATTATTTCTATAGATTCTGATAATCTATTTTAAAGTGATAGTTTTGTACATGTCTCATACCGGCTTCAGCACAGTCATAACTCAAAAAATGATAACAGTGTCAATTTAATATATCTCAGTTATGTTTTCGAATAAATGCCCTTCTGATCATTCATAAAATGTAGTTTCAGGTAACTTCAAACAGAGTACAATGTTGAATGAATGAATAAATGAATGAATGAATTAATTAATTAATTAACGAAATATTCTTTATTGCACATAAAATTACAAAGACAACACAAAACAGTAGTGTACATATCGCAGAGTAAGCTAATGTATAATAGGCGACCTTATTGCAAAGTAGCAATTTCTTCCAGGCAACCTTAGGATAGAAATTTAAGAGTTAGAAACGAATGTTTCTATATTTTTTCAATTGTTTACCAAAAGCTGGGGAAGTTTCTATATATGCCCATAACAGAAGCCACAAAATGGAGATTTTTAACTTGTGGCACTGTTGTAGTGTGTGCTATATATAACACATGTCTATTTTACGCACGCTGCCAGAGGCTCAAACAGTGATAATTTACTGTTTTATTGGCCTCGCAATTTTCCTCACGTTCGCTGTCACGGCTGCATGTGTTGCTTACAAGTAAGTACCTGGTAATTTTCAACGCTACCGAAATTCCGCAGTGTAGTTTTGCAGTGTTGAATTAATATTATGTCGTCTTAAAAGTTGTGAGGGTCCTATCGATACCTTCAATGAACACTACGCCATCTTAATTTTTTGGTAATTTTCTGTTATTTTTGTATACAGCCATAATATATTTACAGGAACCCTGAATATTGTGAAAAACAAAAATAAACAAAAAAAAAAACAAAAAACAAAATAAGAACAGAACATGTCCAAAAATTAAGTTGGCGTAGTGTTGTTCATTGGAGGTATCGCTATGATCTTGCGTGGTTATTTTTTGTATGAAATCGCATTTAGCACCATACACTTGATATATTGTTACCGCATTACTGCCGCTTGGCGTGGTATGAGTTCTCACTTAGTTATCAATTATAACTCTTTTTAGGAGTAGAATATGATATGTATTGTGTGCGTTAGAATGTGATGTATTACTTTCATATATTTTAATATACGAACTCTTTAGAATCAGATTTGAAAGAAAAAAATTATTATTACTTATTAGTTGTTTAAAAGAGGATAATCTTCAAATATTGAAAGTTTAAAAAAATGTTCCATCACAAACTTTCCGAGAAAGGTCTTGTACTTCCAATTATAATCCTTTGACAAGTTCCCAGCTGCTCTCTAAAATCAAGATGACCTTTTGTTTTTCATCAGCATGTTCGCAGCATTTTTTTCTTGTCTAAAAAGCCACACCTGCTGATAAAACATTATTAATATTTCAAAGCAAATGTCAACACCTGCAATATTAATGTGATAAAAGTTTTGAACAATGTTCAACACATGTTCATATTTAGAGGGTTTGGGTTCAAACATAGTATAATAAGGCAAGTATGGTAACTCTATAGAAATGTAGCAGCGCGGTTTGTATGTGTGCACGCCCGCCCCGCGCCGTGTACTGACGCCCGCCCACATTCGAATAGTCTCGTGGTGCACTCGAATTGATAGCGCAGTCATCGCAAGCGCCGTTATAGAATTAAAGCGTTCGTTTTTAAAAAATGGCATTAAATAGTAGATGTTTTATTGTTGTGTTTATTCGAACTTCTTTTTCTTCTTAGTCATCTTCATTGTTGAAATTCGTGACCCCGAATGGTTTCGATTCTTTATGGACGATTTTCTTCCATCTGTTTCTGTCTCCGGCCTCTCTCAGGGCAATTGTTATAGGGAGGCCAGTTGGTCACTCCATCGGCTAAAATACTGTAGGATGTAGGTTTATTTGAACAAGGGTGCCTTAAATTCATAATTGTTCAGCATTTATTTCTATTTCATAATCGTTCTCCTTGTTTTTGTCGAATTAGGTTTGCAACCTGTAGGTACAAATAAAATAATAATGTGACAACCCTTCAACCGGAGCGAATTGTGGGCATTGATGCGCCGAACAGGCGGGAATTGCCCTACTTGTTCTTATTATACTATCTCAATCGAGAATTAAATTTGAAATGTAAGGGATGGGGAAAGCATAGGACAACAGAAACACGTCACTTTTGATAGTTCTCTATTTGAACATTTTCAAAAACTGAACTTACTCCCTCTAACTAAGTCATCCTTACATGAAATGGACACAGGCAAAATTAAGACAATTAGTTTCACAAGCCTTTCATGAAGAACTGAACTGCAATGAAAACTGAATTTTATTAACAGGCAAGCTCGAATTGACGCCGAGCTAAACAACATGGCTTGGAGAGTACGACCCGAGGAGGTGTTGGTGGAAGTAGGTACTGGACTTGGCGCTAGTCCCGCACTGCACAGCATTAACGAGGTTCTTAAGGTACTAAATTACTTACCAAGGTAATGCTCTTTATTAGCTGTAAAACGTAAAATGTCGCGTGATATCCATTCAAACATAATATTATTATTAGTAATTAAATTTTCATTTGTGTCTTAAGGCTAAGAACTCACGAAGCGGTTTTCATCCGCACTCACCGCGGCTGTGGAACAGCTGTTCTATTTTAATACTCACGACACCTCAGATTTGTGCAGTCATAGCCGCAGCGGCTGCGGAATGGACTGCAAACATGGCGGGAGATGATCGCAAGTCGGTCGGTTATTTATGATCAATCGAGATCATCGCCGGCGAACCGACCGCAAAGTGTGCGGGCGACACGGCACCCAAGCGGGCGGGCGATCTCGTGTCTTGCGGTTCTGCTAGTACCCCGCAGATGCTGCTGCTACCGCGAGCAGTCGTTACAGCCTCGGGCGTATAACGCGTTGCGAAGTGTCGTACTAAATTTTACATAGGTATCTACATTTTACAGAACTCGCGATTCCGCAGCTGCGGCGCATGCGGGTGATTACCACGCCGTGAGTTCTTGGCCTAAGTAACGAGTAAATCATGGCATGAGTAGTAAATTCTTGAAAAAATGTTTAATGTTTATGCTACGTTTTACTATGCACTACGCCTAGTGTGTATATGTATTTGTATACGTTTATGTATATATAGTATTATGTAATAGTATAGTGATAAAGAAAGAAGAAGACACAGTGTAAGTGTTGTGTTGTGCAGTGCAAGTATCCCATTTAAGACAACAGAACAGTACAGGTTTTCCTTAGCCGTGAACACTCTTGTACAGTTATCTCTCGGTTGGAGTGCCCGCAGCAGCTCCGGGACAGTTTCTGGAGTGGGGAGCACTCCTTCACTCACCCTCTCTTCGTTCACCGTCGGCCTCTACAAGGGAAATCGTGTGGCCGTCAAGAAAATACATAGGAAAAAATTAGATTTGAACAAGAAACTTCTATGGGAAATTAAACAGGTAATACTTAGAGCTTATGTACACGGCGTATTTTATACGCGCCGACGACGCGCGTACTTATCGCGCATCTTGAGAAAAGATAGTTTTAATTTTAGTTTTGTTTGTTGTTCTGTTTTTTTTGAAATGAAGCAATTACGTGAAATTCTAAGTCTAAACTCCAGTGCAGTACATAAGTTTCTTGCTTGCAACGCGATGTCGGTAAAAGTAGTGGATGGTTTTTTTATACAATTTTTTAAATAAAATTTTATTCGGCGGGCGCATGATCAACGCTATCAACACTGAAAAACTTTTATTCACAATTCAAATAAAATTATGTTATCACGGACACGCACACGTACACACACACGCACAAGTTTCTTTTGAAACGTGTACATAAGAGAGAGCGGCTCCGCCTGACACAGGCTACGCTTAAAAGGAGGCTCCAGCCACTATTATTTAAGAAACAATATTTGAAGATAAATAAAGATTATTATTATTATATCACATATTATATTTTAAGACTTTCGCTCCGAATAAATTAACAGTGATGATTATACTTTTAACTGTTCCAAGGCACGCAATGTATCTCATGAGAACACCGCACGCTTCATTGGCGCGTGTGTCGACTGCCCATTGGTGTTTGTGCTCACCGAATACTGCCCCAAAGGTTCGCTAAAGGACGTGCTGGCCAACGAGGAGTTGCAGCTCGATTGGAACTTTAGAACTTCGCTTGTTCATGACATAGTCCAGGTTAGTGAGCTGTTTTTTGAACTCGGTGTCAACGTTTCTTTATGAACACACTTAGTATCTTGTGGAAATTAAGCTTCAAAATTCGACCACCGCAGAAAATTATATATTTGTCGGTTTCCTGTAGGTAGAGATGGAAAAAAATACTTATTTTTTAAACGTCAAAACGTTGTGCTTTTTTTAATTCCATCCTCTAAGATATCGAAACGCTTTTCACTTAAACGCTTTTTAGTTTAAAGCTTACAAAATCGTTTAGATAAACGTTTAAGCGCATAGACTTTTATTTTAAAAAGAGCTTGCAACGTTGTGTTCATAGTGAAAAGCAAGAGTAGACCACTAAAGGTTTTAAGATAAGTAAGTTTATTTGTAAAACACGAGTTTTATTTTTATTTATAAAATTATTATTCACATTGACGAATTAATTTGTTTAGGAAACATAGATGGTGGGACTTGAAACATAACCACGTTGTAAAAAATAAATAACTAAATAAATAAATAACGCACACACTCAACATATGAATGACATTGTTGAGTATTGAACTGACCAACGCTTACGCTTAAATAGAAAATCCTGTTTATGTGATTATTTTAAAAAGCAAACATTTTTAAGTGCTTTTCTTTTGAACGCCCACCCCTATCTATAGGATACATTTCGGAAAGAATGCGCAAGTACCATAGTTCTACTTACCATTTCTACAGCGTTCTTCCTTGAACTAGAAAGTCCGGACCACTTCATCCTTATGTCATTGATTTACCACCCATTTTCACGCAGCACTTAGCTTCCTCCTTCCCCAATGCGTACGACACACACAGTGTTCATCTGTGTTTCCCGAAAAATATAATTTAGGTATAGTATAATAAGACGAGTAGTGTAATTCCATATAAACCTAGCAGCGTAGCTTGTCTGTGTGCATGCCCGCCGCGCGCACAATTCACATAATTCGCAGTGTACTGGGGTTGCTACTATTCATTATAGAATTGAAGCGATTGCTCGGTGTTTAAAATGTTTCAAATAATTTTCTGTGTCAATTTATTTCACACATTATGTGATTTTAAATTCGGGACTTAATCGTGTATAAAAACATATTTTATTCACGTCGACGTATCGGTACCGAGTTCGATTCCGGGCTGGGAGAAATATTTGTATGACCTACATTTATTTCTCTCGTCAGTTTGGGTGTAATTTGTGGTTGTCCATTTGTGTGTCCATGGCACCTGTGATACAGGATACAGGGTTTCCCATGTCATTATGACACGAGCATATTCTGATGAACACCTTAATTCTTTCTATAAATACCACTAAAATAATAATGTGACAACCCTATGCTCCGAGCAAGGTGTGCGCCGAACGTTTACTCTACTAGTCTTATTATACTATGATTTAGGGCTGCTCGAGGTATATCATTATAATATATTTGTACCATTATCGTTCACATGGTCGCCTAACATCGAAGACATTTTGGTAAGTGTGCGTCTATTCTAAAAAAAAAGGATTTTTTTCAGTTTATTTTCAATCACAATAGCATTGCCCTTAACATAACGTATATATATCAGTTGAGCAATGTGATAGGCCTTTGTGAATGAGCGAAACGTGTACTAGGATACCTTGTGTTTAACTTCGCCAATAACAACTTTCATACTTTCAAAGCATATAATAATATGTATAACGGAAATTGTACCATTTGGGGAACCTTTTGTTACAATTTTAGTCAATCGAGTTTTTTTTCGCGTTCACATTACTGTTGTAATACAATTTACAACAACAAAATCATTCTTATTCTTAAATTATTATCATAATTATTAAATTGTAATTTCCTGAATCACATCCGATTCAGACCAGACCAATCACAGTCGATTGGTCGTTTTCACTGCAGGCAAACGTTTCATTATTAGTTACGACAAAATTTGATTAACGTTCAATTTCGTTCGTAGTTCGACTTTTTGTGTACGTAGTTCAAGTCGTATTCGGTTAGAAATTGAAAGCGAAGCGATATTAATGGTCGTTAGAACATTAATACATACTCAATATATATAGACGTTATGTTAGTTAGTTTAGAGTTTGTTTGGTGTTGCAAACAGAATGAGGTTCGATAAGACAACTTGATATTCGAGATATAAAGAAAACTTTTACACCCAAACCTATCCATCGATGAAGCAATTTCGTAATGGGAAAGTTTTTTTGTCGAAATCTTATCTTCTGCATACACGAGCAGTCGAGGACCCCTCGATGAGAACTAGCTGTGGAAACTCTGAGCTCTTGTATAGTGGACGTTGTATTGACAATAACGCGTGCTGTGAGTGTGTGAGGGACTTGCTTAGGTGCAAAGTCGATAGCTGAGCGATTAAATTCTTGCCTTCTCGTCGATTAATATATGTGTTACAGGCAATTTGATAAGCTAGGTCACTATGAATAACGGCCGGTTTATTTTAATAATGCCCGCATCAAATGAGCAATGTAATAAAAACCGCATATTTAATAAATTTTCCGGTCAGTATGAATAATCTATTTTTTTTTTATGACTCAACATAGCCCCGCACTAGGGAAACCCTGTGTCGCGGGTGCCATGGACACACACATAGACAACCACAAATTACACCCAAACTCACGAGAGAAATAAATGTAGGTCATACAAATATTTCGCCCGGCCCGGGAATCGAACCTGGGACCTCTGCGTGGCAGTCCGGCATGGTAACCGTTCGGCCACGGAGGCAGTTGAAATTGTCTTGTTGAAAGTAATAAGATAAATGATCTGTAGTATTTTGGTTAGGTTAGGTATCTTACCAGCCACAAAAGTAAATTATTCACACTGCCCGGTCCAAATGTCCAAATTCACGATACCTTTAGCCACGATTTATCAAATGAACCACGAGTAGTCAGGCGTTAAATATCATCATCATCATATTTAAGAGCTAGACTCTTGTCGGTGTAGCCTTCTCGGCTCTCACTCTTCACTCTCGGTTCATAGCCAGTTCTTTGACCTCTTTATTCACTTTGTCCGTTATTAATATGGACTGGGCAAAAAAAGTTATAAATTTATCAATTTAGGCGATGCTCTTGATTATTATTCATAATGACCGGTTAGTATTAATACCAATCATATATTAAGCGATTCCTCAGCACACTGATTTATTTATTTATACTACTTTTGAATTGCACAACTTATACTACCTGTAACAATAACTAAACATGGAAGCCATAGTGAACAAAGGTTGAGCCAATCACCGTCCAAAAGCAAGCCGTGGAATGTCGATCACGACTTTTGGACAGTGACCGTAGGAACCAGCTGATATCAGAAATTTCGATCCTGAGTTACTATGTAATGTATTCGCAAACACTTTGGAGATGTTCTACTTTATGTTGTTATCTAGGGCATGTGCTACCTGCACGGTGGACTTGGTGCTCACGGCAAATTGCGGTCTTCGAACTGCCTCATCGATGGCCGCTTCGTCCTCAAGATATCCGACTATGGTCTACACACGCTGTGCACGCCCACGGATTTGATTAAGGACGATACTTATTATTATAGTTAGTATCTTTTAATACTAATGGACACTGAAAAGCAATAACGTGTAAACCCACATAAACTCGAAAATTGAGGTATTAACACCAAATTGTAGCTTGTCATCTCGTCTATGTTTTACAAACATAAACTAAGTGATTAGTGGAGTAGCGTGTGGGGTGCAGAGGGGGCCATGGCCCCGGGCGGTACAGCAATGGGGGCGGCGGCGAGTGCGGCCAACTAATCAAAATTATTTTCTTTACTCAAAATAATCTCAGTACAAAGTACTGAAAAAACCGACCTCAAAAGTTGGTGGAATTACATCTATTTGCCAAGTTTTATTAAAATCGGTTACCGGAAAGTACGCGTAATCGGATTCATGCCCTAGTTCGCCACTCTTAGAGGTGTATTTTCTTCAAATTTAAAAGGGATCATAACTGAGGTACCCTCTGTCTAACAAAAAAGAATCATCAAAATCGGTTCACAAATACCGCCGGAGTTATCGCCTAACATACATACAAATAAATACTTACAGTCGAATTGAAAAGCTCCTCCTTTATTTGAAATCTGAAAAGAAAAGAAAAGAAAAGAAAGGAAAAGAAAATAAAAGAAAAGAAAAGAAAAGAAAAGAAAAGAAAAGAAGGTTGATTGGAAAATAAATTCCTCTAATTGAGAAAACTGTCCTGAACAACACAAACATAAAAATATAAACGAGCCGAGCCTTTTCTGAAGGACACTGCTATTGACCGCTGATGGCCATCGGTTGAAAGGACGAGCTGAAGACTCCTAACCCATTAAAAATAAACTAAAACTACGTAGCGGGCCTGAGAGCACCCAAGTGGGCACTGACCTCGGCTCTGTATTTGTGAAAAGATTTTAGTAGCATACATGTAATTAGAAGAACATGTAAAATGTAATAAAAATAGCAACATTATTTTGTTATAATTATTAATACAAAGATCGAACCTTCAGAAAAAAATCTGGCCGAATTGGCGCTACGGCTAAAAAATCGTTGAAAAACCAAGTAGAAAAGTTTCGTGAGGTCCGCTGGTTCGGTCTGTGGCTTAGTTAGTATAGCGTCTGGCACGGTAAGCTAGAAGACGTCGGTTCGAATCCGGCCGAATCGAAGAAATTTTTTCTGAGTGTTCGATCTTTGTATTAATAATTATAACAAACTAGTGGAGTAATTTCACATAAAAATAATTGAATATCAATTCAAATTGTCGTACTACAAGTAAAAACCTGGAAACTAAAAACAAATAAAGCAGTAATTTAGAGTAAGGTATAAATAAGAAAGTTATGAAAAAAAAGATACGTACCATTTTTAAACCCAAGTAGATCCCGTAAGACAAGACAATTATACGATCCTCTCTGAATTGATGATAGACCCATACAAATAAATAACACAAAAAGATCGATTTGTAAAGCAAAAAATTATTGTTAACAATATTACGCCAAACAAGATAGTAGTAGCTAATAGTAGAGATTTCCTAGCGAAACATAAAAAAAATGTGATAATATAGGGGTAGGAAATTTAAGGTTGGCGCCGGGCAGAAATCGACGCTATGCCACTCTGAAACTTCCAAATAATAAAAAATGGTAAAACAGTAGACATACATCCATTAGCCACTATGGCTTAAAAAATTGTAGGCGCCATTTTCTCAAAACTATGATCATGTTGGTTGACACGTTATTGCTTAATAGCATCCAAATATCCTTTCGTACACTTGGTATAATAAAACTACATGTGATTATACGTCAAAAGTGCTATTATCACATAGAAGTCATGAAAATAATTCGAACTATATGAACAAATTTTATATATATGAAATTTAACAAAAAATATCGACTAATTTCGTTCGTAGATTTTTTTTATAATACCAAATGAAGGAACGAACAAACCGTGCGCCTGGCAAGCGACACTCCTATCCATAATCATTGCAGTGCCACGGGGTACTGCCAATGCGCCCGTCATCCTGAGACACAACTTGACAAGTTCCATGTGCCTCTAATTTCGCCAGCACCTTCAAAGTGGTAGTATTTCCTTGGATGAACTCTTTTATAAGGGGCTCTACTGCTACTTAATTCTTTCAACTTATGTCTTTAAACCTCTCTCCTGAAAAGTTGTCATTTTGCAGTTGTGACTTTATTATACAAAGGGTGCAGTATGCATTATATACAAATATAATATACATTAATGTATTCACTAAGTATATACATACAAACAAGTAAGTAAGGCTAATTATACACGACACGTAACAACGTAGCACCGCCGCGCGCATCCGCTGCAGCGCCGCAGTTGTAGTGGCCCTTGCATTTGTATACACACTTTCATACGTGCATCGCGGCGGCGGTGTTACTTGATACGGCGCGGCGGTAGCGAGCAACGGCGGCGAGTGTTGCCGCAATTCTCTACTAATGTACAATTTTAGTAGATGACGCCGTTTAGGCTGCATTTACACCGCTGGTGCTGCGCTATGATGCCGTAACTGTCCGGCGCCGGCGCCATGTTCAGCCAAAGTTTGCGAACGTAAAAGAATCATCAATAAGTAAGCACTTAATATATAAACAACTACTACTTATAAACAAGAAAGTTTCTTGTTTATATATTAAGTGAACTTTGGTACCAACTGTAATTGATAACTTTTACGTATTTTCTTTTCTCTATTATTCCACCTGTGCGTTATTCTGATAACACAATATCTGTTTCTACCCTTATTACATGTATTAAAAAAAAATCAAAATTAAGCTTTAGGTTAAGTAGCGTTACAACTTGACAACCTCTCAGGTTCGATTCCTGGTAATAGTTATTTTCGGACTAGTGTTGACTACCTAATTTCTGTGGCAATTTTTATAATTTTAATATTCAAGTATATTGTCGTGTAATTATTAAATAATATTTCACGACACAATACTCAAATATGAAATAATATTGCACAATAAAAAATCGAATACTTAAATAATAAAAATTGCCACAGAAATTAGGTAATGAACACTAGTCCGAGAATGGCCGGTAAGAGTTTTTGAAATTTTGGGTAAGTAACTTCTCGAAATTGGTTCTGGTCTGGTTTTCACACATAATTTGATTAAAAAAAATCGGGATCCATTCTAGACCATGGACGTTGCAACACGTCCGAAACGTCGAGGTGAATACATATTTATATGCGATGAAGTCCCGATTTTTTAAAATCATGTAATAGTTCTGGTTTGCTTGTTCTGAGTACCCATAAGACCACGTTATTAGTGTGGCACATTATGATTATTATTATTTAGTAGCGCTAGAGCTCGTTGTGAAAGAGTTCGTCCAAGGAAGTACTGCCACCTTGCCTATTTGTGCCGCCAAGCAGTAATGTGAGCATTACTGTGTTCCGGTTTTGAAGGGTAAGGGTGCTGGCGAAATTACACACACACACACACAGGACATGTGAACTTATGTCTGAGGGTGACGGGTGCAGTATCAGCGTCCCTCTTCTTTCTTCTTCTTCTTTCTTCAATCTTTGCGATTTAAAGCTCTGAGTGGCACAGCAACTGTTATGGTCATGCGTGTCGCTTACCACCAGGCGCACGACTTGTTCATCCGGTCGCTTGGTAGACTAAAAAAATAATTTGTATTGATCAATAAACTCATCCCACGTTATTCGCAAACTAAAGACAACTGTCCTATATGCATGTTTTTCTATTTAGAGCTACTTTGGACATCGCCGGAGCTTGTCCCCGGGAGTATATACCCAGGAGCAGTGGCTTCTCTTAAAGGAGACGTGTACAGCTTCGGCATCATTCTGGAAGAAATAGTAGTGAGAGCTGGGCCTTTCCATCACTTTACTTCCACTATGTCAAACGAAGGTAATGTATACTTAACGTAGATTTTTGTTTCATACCATTATGATCAGACAAAACGGTTCTAAGGGCCTTCTTACGCACTGCACTGAAACATTTAAAAGAATTTCAGATTTATGGTTGAAATTTGTATTTACGTAATGTAATTAAAAATCAAGCTGGCTCAAAAAATTACTTAAAACTTCATTCACTAAAGATAAAATCTGGAAGTCATATTAAAACAGGTTTTATGGCTCAAGGGTCAAGTCTTTAGGGTGCGTACAAATCTGGCGAAAGCGCTGCAAATGCGCCTGTTTGCGAACGGCTCGCGAGCTGCGCACGAGCATTACGTTGTGTGACCTGTTCGCGTGCCGTTCGTGCGCCCCATATATTAACACGTATTTAAATGCATGCATGTAGCACGCGTGCAGTATGCGAGCCGCCGCCGTGCGCGCAGCGCGTATCCAGCGCATTCACGACGCATCCGTTAGATCTGTACGCACCCTTAGGGCATCGACTGTAGTTTTAAGTAATTTCACATTTAATTTTTTTATTAAATTGATATTCAATTGTTTTATGTGAAATTCTCCACTAATTTGTTATAATTATTAATACCAAGATTAATACGAACACTCAGAAAAAATTCCTTCGATCTGGCCGGATATCGGATACCGGATACCGTGGCAGACGCTATACCAACTAAATCACGGAACGAACCAGCGAACATCACGAATATTTCTATGTGCTTGTTTGTCGGATCTTTGTATTTGGTTTTCAACGACTTTTTTAGCCAGATCGGAAAAGATCGAAGGATTTTTTTCTAATAATACGATCTTTGTATTAATAATTATAACAAACTAGTGAAGTAATTACACAAAAAATTATTGAATATCAATTTAATACAAATTTAACTTAATGTGTTAATATTATTAAAACAAAGATCGAATAAACACAAGGGAAAATTCTTTCGATCCCGTTGGACTCGCTAGAGAATGATGATTTTTTCACAAAGTTAAGTAATAATTAAAACGTTTAAGTAATTGAAAATACCCGTAGCGCATTCATTATACTGAATATAGAAGAAAAGGAAAGCAATTAGAAATATTGTATATTTAACTCGTTTTGTTAAAAGTAAAATATTTCTTCGAGGACCCTGGGGCATCGTGCTCAGATGACTGGTAGGTAACGTTTCCTTTTTGCGATGGCTAAATCTTTTATTACATTTTCCAACACTAGTTAGTAGTAATGCGAACGCGCTGCACGTATGTACACTGTACGCGTACTGCATTCGTGCAGTTACATACATGTATTAAATACATATAATTAGCGTGCGAGGGGTGCGCGAACGGCACGCGAACAGATCGCACAACGTAATGCACGTGTGTAGCTCGCAAGCCTTTTCGCAAGCAGGCACATTTGTACCGCATTCGCCAGATCTGTACACTCCCCTGGGTTTCTCACACCTTTTTTTTCTAAACTATTTTAAAAACTTTGTGCTAGCTACTTTGATATAATTAAATTCTCTTTTAATTTCCTATTTTATTCCTTATAATAGAAATAGTATCAAGAGTATGTGCTCGAGAAACGCCCCCCTTTCGACCAGTGGTAGGGGTAAATGAAGTGGGAGCGGGGACCGGTGGTGCGGGCGCAGGAGCAGCAGGGGAACTACTGGAGCTAGCTGCCAAATGCTGGGCAGAATGTCCTGATGACAGACCTACTTTTGATACTATCAACGCTAATTATATCAAGTATGTAAACTTAAATAAAACCTGTAATTGACAGAACTCGATATGATTTGATAAAAATTAAAATACATATTTAAACAGATATTAAATAATTTTATAAGACTTAGAAGCAATAGATAAATGTTGCACCAACTCAATAGTAAAACAGTTGCAGTGGGGTTCAGTACAATTCCAGATTCATATCCATTATGTAAATTACAGATCAGTAAATGATCCATATTTAATAATCGATGTGGTTAAAAAAAGTATGTGTACTTAGGTAGGTATCAAGTCATCTTATTAAACTTAGACGCAATTGATAGATATTGCATCATCTCAATAATAAAACAATTACAGTGTTGTTTAGTACAATTGTCAATTAATATCCATTATTTAAATTACAAACGCCTGTAACTGATAGATAGATATTTAATCATCAACATGGTTAAAAAAGTATGTGTACTTAGGTAGATATTAAATAGTTTTATTAAACTTAGAGGCAATTGATAGATATTGCATCAACCCAATAATAAAGCAATTACAGTGTTTTTAGTACAATTTTAAATTCATATCCATTATTTAATTTGCTAATTGACAGGTACTTAATAATCAATGTTATTAATAAAATTATAATTTTAATTTGAAAGTGAAATTGACGAAGAAAATCAATTGGCGTAAAAGAAATAATTAAAAAACTTGATTTTCAGTAATTAGCAAAAACGTGCTTGATCCCTAGACACTTTTGATGTGTGTATGTACTTAGGTAGATATTAAATAATTTTATTTAACTTAGAAGCAGTAGATAGATATTGCACCAACTCAATAAAAAACGATTACATACAGTGTTGTTTATTACAATTCCAGGTACATATGTGTTATTTTAATTCTAGGGGATATTGTGATAATCTGATGGACGATCTGCTACGACGAATGGAACAATACGCTAACAATTTAGAATCACTGGTTGAAGAGAAGACTGAACAATTATCTTTGGAAAAACGACGTTCAGAGGAGTTATTGTATCAGGTGCTTCCAAGGTATGTGTCTTATTGACTTCACATACAATTCGCACCCTTTGTATCATAAGGCCACAACTGTAAAATTACAATTTTTGAAGAGAAAGTTTAGCGAATTTTTTTTGTTTTCAACAGAAAAGTTATAAAATTTCACAAATACGTAATTTGATTCTTGTCATTTGTATTGTTTTTATGACTATATAGCAATCTAATTACTTTCTCACTCAGGCCAGTAGCTCAACAACTGATGGCAGGTGAAATGGTGCAACCCGAGAGTTTTGAGTGCGTGACAGTGTACTTTAGCGATATTGTGGGCTTTACGGAACTCTGCGCAGCATCCACGCCCATGCAAGTCGTGGACTTGCTAAACGATTTGTACAGCACATTTGATAGAATTATTGGGTTTTATGATGTTTATAAGGTAAGAACATGGTAAGAATTTTAAGTATTTAATTTTTAACTTTTTCGTTGTTGAATAATCAACAGTGTCTTGTTATAATTAGTTTTTTTACGATTAGAAAAAGCGTAAACAAAGAAGCAGTGTACGTAAACCTTTTTCTTTAGCCAACTTCAACTTCAACTTTTGTATCTATGGCTCCGTCGTTTTGCGCGACGATTTCGCCAACGTCAGGGTTGAAAGACTAATTTATTTAGGACTTAGTGTGGTGGTGAGATAGATTGCCGGTTATTAAAATACTTAAGCGGTTATTATACACATTAACGGTTACTATGGTTTTTTTGACGGCTTTTTATTGACGGTTTTTGGACCAATACAAAAATTTTGTTACTACAATACAAAAACAAGTTTGGGACAATACAAAAATATAATTTGAGGGCTCATGTTAATTTCTTTCTTTTGGAAATATGTTATGAAGTTTTATTTAGCGCGACAACGCGCCAACAAATTACGGTAAAGGAAAAAATTACATTTACAAATGACTCGCTGTTATTATTTTATAAAAAGTTTTCGTTTAATCTATGTATGTGGTCTGTGGTTTAACCGTTGAAAGCTCTGTTTGTTTAAGTTTTGTATAGTGCAATTCGTATGTAAAGATATTTTTTTCATTTTTTTATAATATTGAGGACTACGAGTAAAAAGCATAATAATTACATGCAGATAGTAAAGTGTTTGAGAATTTTGTTTCGAGGTAATTATTAACCACTGAATGAAAAATGGTGCCTGATAAAAGAGCCAAAATTTCCTTGACTCGTGTTAAAAAAAACGAAGTATAGAGGCTTTCTTTTTTTGTGTTGCACACACGACTGTTTTTGAACTGAATAGAAGGGAAAGTTGTCGGTTTAATATCTTTCCCTTGCATTTGAGAGCGTCCGTTAAGTTACGGACGAGATTTCTTTATACATCATCACACTCACTTGGCCACACAGTCGCCGGCGCTTCTCTTCGCCCGCCATTGGTGCCAATTTCGCCACTTAGCCACTAGATCTAGGCAATTTTTATAAATGTTACTGTGCAAAAATTTGGTTTTAGCGAGATATAAATATTTAGCGAGTTGCAGTGTCTCTTTGAGCCGTATTATTTTTGAAAACATAAAAATCGTGACCGTGACTCTTAATAAATCTAAAGTTAAAAATAAACTTATATTCATTTGTGCTATTTTCTTATCTAACAATGGTAACACAACACTGTCTCTGACACCCTGTAGCCAGCTTTGTCTGTTGTTGGTAGGTGGAAACCATCGGTGACGCATATATGGTGGTATCAGGACTACCTCAACGGAACGGCGATCAACACGCTCGCGAGATCTGCCTAATGGCCTTAGCTGTTGTGGAGGCTGTTCGCAGCTTCGTTGTCCGACATCGCCCGACGCATCGATTGGAGGCAAATTATCTTTCGTTATTTTAGACAATACGACGTATTATTATCGCATATGTGTCACCCTGCCATTAACTGCACAGAGGAATGATCTAAGTTACTGTCACATCACTATGAAAGCCGTGTGATTGGTCAATTTGAATTTCTAATACGTGATATTAAAGCAATGTCATTGGTCGCTTAACTGTTTAATTTTGTATGACGTAAAGTAAGATATTGATACCTTTAGACTCAGTTAACGTAAAGGACAAAACGCAATTTTCCAGGAAAAGCGAAATCGTTTTGTTTTTCAGAAAATCTTGTTTGTTTCTTGACTTATAATTTTGATGAGTAAAATGTAACAATACTTTAGCATGGGTAGTTACTACAACGAGCAAAAAGCTAGTGTCTTTTACACTGCAGCAGAAGTACACATTTGGACCTTTACGCCAATTGACTCTATGTATCGGTAATCGTTCTTTTAATTAATTAACTATATTTAGTCGTGAACACATTAAATATGATTGAAACTTTACAACGTTAGTACTGTAGAACTATTATACATCTCAGGTAAAGATCTGAAAAAGATTTTAAATAATGTAATTGCTTTACTTTTTCAGTATATGAACAAACTAAACGTCTGATGATTTTATCCGACAATCAAAGTCCATCCTCACACTCTGGAACCGAGTCGATCTCGTGGTGTACGGAATCAGAGGAGCTTTCTCCCACGTCCAATTAGGTTGTAGAATGAACTCCCTGTCGGGGTTTTCCGGCAGGAATACAGCACGGAGTCCTTCAAAAGGGGTTTGAGTAAGGGTCTGCAACGCGCTCGTGACGCCCCTGGTGTTGCAGGCGTTCATAGGCGACGATAACCTCTTTCCATCAGGCGGGCCGTAAGCTCGTTGGCTGCCTACATAAAATAATTTTAAAAAAATGAAACAGCAACATTCTATACTTAGTATTTTTCATATTAAGTTTATTTTGTATGCAAGCCTGAAACAACAAGTTATTATTTGATAATAACAGCATATTTTAGGTACGAGTTGGTGTCCATTCGGGTCCGGTGTGCGCGGGGGTGGTTGGTGTGAAGATGCCTCATTATTGCCTCTTTGGTGACACTGTTAACACCGCCAGCCGCATGGAGTCTTCAGGACAACGTAAGTTTTACTAATTGGTACCAGCAGGTAAAAGTATCTAAGGCCCAAATGCAACTTAGTCTATTTTATTTCATATTTTTCAAAATGAAGTGATATAATATGAGTAATGAATTGTGTTGTGTTTTACTGTCGATTTTCGTACTTTCTAAAAGTTTTTTTAGTATCGGTATTTTCCATTTTATAGAAGCTTTGATTATTTACTTGTCGGAGTTAAGGTCGGAAAGGGAGACGTCGAAGGAAACAGCCTCAATGCAGATTTAGTCAGGAATTACTTAACAATCGGATTATTCACTCTTCGGTATCAATTCGTTCAGCCGGCGGTGAAATAAAACGACAACGATTGCAATTAGTTGTTTTATGCACTTTTCACAGTGATTAGTCCGAAAGTCTAAGAGATGGATGAAATTAAAACAGATTCTATATATCACGTGGCAAGTTCAGAGGTGCCTCTTCAACGTCCAAGCAGCTTACACAAATATCCCAACGCTCCATACCCTATTGGCGCAGTCAAACTTACGTGACATGATAGCTGGTTCCGATATAGTAATAAGTGCCTATTAAAGGAATTACTTCCTTGTACAGTTTATTATAGATGTAAGATAAAACTGATAATAATCTAGTATTATCTTAATGTATCTTTGTAAACTACACAGGAGGCGAAATTGAAATCTGAAATTGTAGTTGGATTGGCAGTTTCAAGTTTGTTTCTTTTTTTAAATAAATTGTATGATTGACCGGTGTTCCTTTAAATTAGGATACTATGTTGCTTAGAAGGAAGTAATCCTTACAATTGATCCTTTCGATCGGCACCTAAAAATACATGAAACGACCTAAGAATGCATTACTACTTCATTTAAAAATAAAATAATGTCTTCATAAAACAAAATGTGCGTTCTACAATATTTCAAGTATTCTCCCTCCGTGTAGCCGTGAGACGCTTTGTATGCTAGTACGAAAATAAATATATCGATACTTCAAGGAAGAAAAGATGTAAACGCCAAGGTACAAAGTCGTAAAGCGAGTTAAACATCTTATGCCAATATAAATACCTTATAAATATTTAGATTCATAATTATTAGATTTATAGCTATTAAAATTTTAATATTTTGAGGAAAAAATATTTCTACGAGTAAGCAGATGGAAAGAGCTTTATTTAATTCAACTACATCAATAATTTTTTTTTAAATTGGCTTTTACGTCTTTTTTCCCCCGAAGTATCGATTTGCAATACTCGTGTACATGAAATATAGTACATAACGCACCCATAGCCCCGCACTAAGGAAACCCTGTGTCGCGGCTGCCATGGACACACACATAGACGACAAGTCAAATTACACCCAAACTCATGAGAGAAATAATTGACCTAGACCTTACAAATATTTATCCCGGCCCGGGAATCGCACTCGGGACTCTACGTCGCAGCCCAGCATGGTAACTGTTCGGTCATGGAGGCAGTTAGTTAGTTTATACAAAAATTAATATATGTAATTTTTTGACCGTATGTATTCCATTATTATTCATTTGATTGAGAACTATTGTGAGTTTTTGTGCCCACACTCGCAAAATTTTTGAAATATTAAATTCCACTTTTGGGCACGGGTCTCCTCTGAGGAGAAGGTTAAGGCATCACGCTGGTCCAATGCGGGTTGGTGACTTCACACGTTTTTGCAACATATGTCGGGTACAATTAGTGTATAATAATATCAAGTAAAAAAATGTGAAGAGTAAGTAATGTTAATTTTTTTCATATTTTCACACATATTCCCAACATCAAAGCGAGTTAGTTGTTTACAGTGCCCGATTATATACAGGGTTTTTGTAAAATACCAACAACCTCATTCCTTGAATTCCTTCGATCCGGCCGGATTCGAACTGACGTCTTCTAATAAACCGTACCAGACGCTATCTTCGATCTTCGTATTAGTAATTATAACAAAAATAAAATAATATGAATAAAATTTCGAGAAAAGTTTGGGTTTTTTTTTCGTGAAAAATTTTGGGAATTGTGTTTTTACACCGTGTACTAATCAGCGTATATCTTCAATTTTATTATATTTTTTTTTTCAAAGTGTTTGATTCAACACTTTCACTGTTTTGCGGAATCGATCAAAGCCAATAATTTGAGGTTGTATAGACTCTTAAAAAAAGGTTAACTGCCTATAATGGACTCAAAAGGCAAGAAGTAGCGAACTGTGATAATGAAAGCGCGATGAGACCCTAACAATTTCACATTATATAAGAAAATTTAAATTATCTGCTTACGAGCAACTGCAAGAACACAAGGAGGGAAATATCAAGAAAAGTGGCGTCCTTTTTAATAAAAATTGTTTGAATGTATATAAGTAATTTATATACCCCGCGTTTGGATTGCATAAATAACGTGACCATACGTCTTGCTTTGAGCGGGACAGCCCCGCTTTTAAGCTTCGTGTCCCGCTTTGACAAAACATGCTGCGTGCTGCATTAATTTGGCGTGAAAAAACAATTGGCGCGTCGTCAGCCCAAATTAGTTCTTTTTTTAATTTTTGATCATCAAACATTTTTAAACCTTTTTTAAATTTTCTTAATCATTTAACATTTTGTAACTACCTAAAAATGTCTTTTTTTAAAACAATAACAAATTCGTAGAAGTCCCGTTCTGAGGGGAAAAAATAATAGTTACGTAATGCATAATGCAATCATGTTTAAACGTTGCCGCTTTTTGAGATTTAACTGTACCGGAATTATTTATTTACTGGTGGTTTTAAAAATACATCGTAAATAGCGACTTTGACATTAAATAATTGTATCGAGTTCTTAGGTTTTCGCGCTTGTTACACATAGAAAATGAAAGTATGTTTCGGGTATTAATTGCGTCTATTTGTTTTTCAGTCAGGTTTGTGACCATGGGACCTGCAAAAGGCCCAAAACGTTGGTTTGTTTAAAGAACAAATACACACGATGTGAGCGAATCGCAGCAGTCGCTACCGTGTCGTTACAAATCTCTTTTGTCTTATATTTTAATTAAATATATTTTAGTTTTATATTTAAATTCTAAATTAAAATGTGATTGTTTTTGGCGTCTTTTCTTACTATTGTTTCTGTTTTCGTATTGATAGCTGTAGTACGTATTTTGTAATAAATTAATAAACTGTCTTAGAATAATAACGCATAGAATGATAGTTTCATATCAAACGAACTGTCACAAGTGAGGCTAAAATCAAATTCATGTAGGCTAGTTTAAGTAGTAGGTTAATTTTCGGTTTTAGTGAATATTTATATAAAAATACAAGTTGAAACGCGTTACTTCCTTGTGGAATGTGATGTTAGTATCTATTTTATGTTTGTCTGACGTATTTTTACACTTATTTACCGTACATTTCGTCATTTTTAGCTAAAATTCTTAAGCTGGTCGCGGTGCAAGTTTACCTTGAGCACTGACGGCCCGCCCGCTCGTGTAGGCCCATTGGGAGAGCTTCAATTTGCCTCACATAGCGTGTGCGGACTAGGATTCTATGCTTTATTATTCTAAGTAAACTGTATGTACATTTACTTTGGTCTTGCTCACTCGTTTATAGCACCCACCCGAACCCTTTGAAACAGTTCGCTATACATGATTTAGATCCGAAAAATAGTTGCATTTCCTATATCATTGTTTTATAACAGTATAAAAAATACTGGTCGCTTTTCTTTCCTTTCGAAATGCTTAAATGTTGTCATCGATGTGGGGCTGTGACTTACGCTGCTAACAAATTCATGTGGTCGTTATCAAATGCATGCAGTCGTGATTTCAACTGCAAAAGCCGGCCGCAGTCGACATAACCGAAAGTCAGAACCAAAAGCTGCAATTGATATCTTTACGAGAGCATTTAATTTATTGTGTCTGCAACAACTTGCTTTTTTTTCAGTAACGGCAAATGGTAACGATTACTTGAGTCTTTAATCAACATAATGCCAAAACAAAAATACGATTGGCAAAAAGTTTTCTCGACAGATTTTTTTTTCATAGTAGACCTTTGTGAAACAGATTTAATGTTAAATCTTCGAATCTAGAAAGGATTATTAGTTAACATTTATTTTATTCGGTACACAATTATTGTACCTATAGACTGTGGAGGGGATTTTGTAATGTGTTTTACATTGTATAGTCCAAGATTATGGACGCGAGGGAAACACGCACCCTTAATGTCTTAGAGAATAGCCGTTTCACTCGCGGCTTGAAAATATCCAAGTTAGTTATAGTGAACGCTATGTTCAAGGGATTAGTCTGCAGGCAGGGAATTGACAAATTAAAATGGAAGATTTTAATAGTGATATGTAATAAATATCAACTTTATTTTTTATTATGGATATAATAAAAAGTAAAGATGATATCATAAATGTTCAGAATATCCGACATTAATTTTCACATTAATCTCCTGTGCCATACGACTGGCGATAACTTTTTTCAAGCAGTCTGTCTAATAGCAGCCTCACTGCCACCCGAGACGTGATACCATAAACAATTGCTTACTTTGCGCATAGATTTTTTATTTTTTTATTAAAAAATAAGTGCGCGTTTGATATCCATCTCACCTGATGGAATGTGACGATGGAGCATGCACACTAGGGTGTTTCATTTTGTTAGGCAAAAAATAAAATGTTAAATTCTTGCTGATTTTGCTTACGCCCTGAGTTTCAGTGATGCAAAACACATATATGCCAAATTTCAAGAAGATTGAATAATATTTAGAAAAGTAGGCAACAACACGATTTTTCAATGTTAATTATTTTTTGTTATTGAGAAAACTACAAATCACGAACTTAAAATTATATTAAAACAAGACGCTAAGATTAATACGCAAAAGATGTGGTATATAATATATTAATCACCTTTTTTATGTGATACCAAGTGGCGGAATTAACAAGTCGTGTGCCTGGTGGGAAAGGACACCAGGGTAACAATTGCAATGCCACACAGAGCTTTAAATCGCATAGATCTTAGGGGTACTAACACTGCGCCCATCATAAGACACCCTAAGACATAAGTTGACAAGCTCCATCTATCTGTAATTTCACTTTGCACGATACAATCCCTTCTAATGTTCACTTTGTGACGACTTTTCTGTGATATATTACTAACCTCTAGAAGAATTTTGTTTTTATTGTACGTCAATGACCGATTCATTAAAAATTTTATCACAGCAATTTCTCTCCATATCTCAAGCTCTTTATATTGTAGTATTGACCACCGTTCACATATCTTTTAAGATATTCACTGCAAGTATTTTGTCACGTCGAGGAACCCAAACTACTCAAACAGTCTTGTTTTCTTGTTGGGTCAAGTTTTTTCCTTCAAAATCGAACTTTTTACCCTCTAATCTTTTCATTTCTTTTTTATTTGTACGTTTGGTTTCTAAATTTTTAACTATATTTTCCATAACAACCTGAATAATGCGCTCGTCCAAAACAACCAATCTTACGTTTGTTTCTGTCAGAAGTAAGTGTCTCCTAGCGATTGTTTTTTGAAGTGCTCAGAAGTTGTAGGTTATACAAAACATCCTTTGGAGCCCATCGACTTACAATCGTCTCGTGCCAAAATTGAACGTATATGAGGCTGACAAAATGTGCAACTCATTTCATTCTTTTCAATTTACGTTGAGGTACATATATTCCAACCGTTTCGTGAAGAGGACAATTTTAAGTGCATAAATTGCCTTTGCTATCCATATTGCTTGATGCGGACTCCCTGAAATTCTGAAAGTGAAGTCGTTTCTAGATCAACCTCCTGGGTACTAACTCTTCTCTTGGATGGTTACCGACGTTTAGAACGTTTTGGATTGACGACCTCCGTGGTTAGGTGGCTTGGACACTGGTCTTCATGGTGTCGCCAAATCTGAGGTACCGGGTATGATCCGCGGCCGGATAATGTAGAAAAACTGATTTGACCTGACTAACAAACTCAAGAATTTGACAATATAGAATGTCTCGGATGTGGGTGTTCGTGACAGCGTCATTGTTCTCGGTTTTCGTAACATAAGTGTTTTAGTTACTTACTTTGGGATCAGTGCGACGTATGTGATGTTATCTAATGTTGTCCAATTCTATTCCTGGAGGAGTCCCAGATCCTAAAAACTTACTACAAGGTACCTATTCTAGTAGCCAAATTCCTATTATGGTTTCCACTTTAAAGTACAATTAACAACAAAAAATTAAAGAAATATATGAAAAGCCCATTAGTGCAAAGCACTTCAGTATGCGAAATTTCACTAGTATGAAATAAAAGTGACCAAGAAGATTTTTATGTTAAGAAGATTGGATAATATCCAATCTTCTTGAAATTCAGCATATATATCTTATATAACACTGAGACTCGGGGCGTAAGCAAAGTCGCATGAAAATCACATCTTTAGAAAAATGTAACCCCTAATGGACGCCTAAGTAATGCCTGTTCACTCTCGCTTTAAAAAGTACTTCTTAAATATTTAGTACCAGTAGAGCTCCTTGTGAAAGAGTTCGTCCAGGGAAGTCCTGCAACCTTACCTATTTCTGACGCCAAGCAGTAATGTCAGCTTTACTGTGTTCCAGTCTTGGAGGATAAGGATGCTGGTGAAATTACAGGCCCATGAGACTTGTCAACTTACGTCTCAGGGTGACAGGCGCAGTGGCAGTGGCCCTCAGATCTTTACGATATAAAGCGCTGAGTGACACTGCAAGTGTTATGGACAGGCGTGTGGCTTACCATCAGGCGCACGACTTGTTCGTTCCGTCACTTGATATTATAAAAAAGGCCCAATTAACGACTTAACTCGGTTAATTATTTATTGTTTATATTAGCAAAATGAAACACAATTTCGGGGGCACACATAACAGTGTACTTTACGAATAGTAAGCAAACGTTTACTACGATACCTTAATTAGTCATTAGCAAAATTAATCTTTGTCATGGTCATGTTAAAGTTCACATTGGCTTAAGGTCATTGTTCAAAGCTTATGCCCAAGTTTATGCCCATGAGTATTTGAATAAATCTGCAAGGGTTACGTAGAATGAGTTGTTGGATGAACTTGTGAAATATAAAGTTTTGCGAAAACTGTTTTGCGATACTGTTACTTTGTTAGCTCTTACGGCAATCGCTAGCGATTGACGACCAATATCTAGATATTGCACAAGTGACCTTACTCATGGAACAAAATAACTTATCGTAAGAAACTTTACATGTAAATTGTATTCCGTCAGCTAAATTCGTGAACTTCGCAACATACATTAATGTGAACTTGTGAGTAGGTACAAAAAACAGAATTACTAGAAATAACTGTATGACGATCGTATATTGTACGATATGATTATAACTTTATTTTATAACTTGTATGTTATGAAAAACCAAATAATTCGTGAGGTCCGCTGGTTCTTTCCGTGGCTTAGTTGGTATAGCGTCTGGCACGGTATGGTAGAAGACGTCGGTTCGAATCCGGCCGGATCAAAGGATTTTTTCTGAGTGTTCGATCTTTGTATTAATAATTATAACAAACTTATATGACATTCAAAATTTGCCATTTACGAGGTTTAAAGCTATGGTGAAACAAAAACTTTATACTAAAGGTTATTATTATACAGCTACTGCGTACTTGGATGATAAAAATCCGTGGTCTTTTACAGGTAGTCTCGACCTAAGATGTTTAAATTAAATGTTGAAATGACAAATGTATTCAAATATATATTTACAAAGAGCAACCCCTAGAGTTTCTTGCTTGTTCTTCTCAGGGGAATCTGCCTTACGAATGAGCAGTAGAGTTTAATCAGTATGACGATTTCAAGTGTAATTTAAACCTATGAAATAAAGGTTATTTGATTTTGATCTTAAAAAAGGTCGAGATAATATGTTTTAAGCTTTAGTTGCCCGATGTTGTGCTCGAAAAGAAAAAAACAGATTTCATCCAAAAACGGAGTTACGAGTAGACGATTTATTTGATAGTACCCTTCTCTTGATACCTTCAAAATACATTTCAAGAAACAGTTCCTGAACTCCTGCCTTACATTTCTTTTCTTTATCCTTTCATTTATTTCCTGTACTTACAAAAGTTTATGTTAGTTACTAAATCTAAGAAAAAAACGTTCATTGAGCGAAAAAAACGTTCACAAGGCGTTATAGTCTCTTTACATTTTTTTTTATAATACCAAGTGACGGGACGAACAAATCGTGCGCCTGACGCGACACGCCTATCGATAACAGTCGCAGTGCCTTGCAGAGCTTTAAATCGCCAAGATCTCAGGGCACTGCTACTGCATCCATAAGTTGACAAGAGACATAAGTTGACAAGTCCTAAAAAGAACATCCATAACACGTTATTATCACGTTTTATAGCACTTACAAAAACAGCCAGAACGCGTTGTCTCTAATTTAAAAACGACCACAATACGCAAATTGCGTTATCGCTCTCTTACTTTTTCCTAAAGAGTTCATGTTCGACGCGTTCTTTAGGAAAAGTAACAACGATAAAGTCGCTCTATAAAATTGCAAACGTGTTTGTAATACAATGTTCTTTTTTCTAGCACTAAGAATACACCTCAGCGAAAGTACAAGGGTGCTGCTCCAGCAGTGGGGTACATTCGCCGTCGAGCGCCGAGGCGAAGTGGAACTCAAAGGCCGCGGTCGGATGCTCACACATTGGCTACTCCATTGTTCGGAAACGGAAGCGGTTTTGTCCCAAGGACCTGTACCTTCGCAACAATATCCAATATTATTCCCTGCCTTGCCACAAGCTATGTCAATTCATGCTCCGTATTTGGTAGTGGAAACACCAACTCTGGCTGCCTGATTGGAGGAGAATGCCAGACCTGATGAAGATGAGGGATAGTTAATGAGGCATCAGGATGGATGTTTATAGATTTATGCGACAACGCCTACTGTGTATTATGATAACGATTAATTCGTACACTCGGTTCAATAAAGTGACATGTGGTCATACGTTAAAAGTGCTTTTATCACATTGACGAAAGCAAAGAGTACCCGGTTTTCTGCAAAATCACGATTTTACGGTAGAGTGTTTTGAAAGTAAGGGCGCCGTTTCCATTGTGACGACAGATAGTCGTACAGTTTAAAGTGTCGTGGCTTGTGCATTTAAAGGAAGAACTGTCGTTAAGGGCTTTTTTGACATTATGATGGCAGACTGTCAAGACAATGAGAAGGGTGAGAACGACAGTCGTTTCGACGATAAATAAAACGTCACGACAAAAATGTGACGACAGATAATTGCAGCTACTATCATCGTCACGTTTTATTTATCATGTCTGCACGTGCACCGATAAATTGTCGTCACGATCTAGTGGGAATATCTAGACACGACAGTCGTTTAACGATAAAATCAACGTCCACGACACAGTCATGACAGATAGTCGTGATATGGGAACAGGCTAGACGCGACAGTCGTCAAACGATAAATAAAACGTTACGACATAATAGGAACGGGTCCTAATTTGATATTTTCTGATGTAACAGACCAAATTAGCTAAAATTTTGAGCAATGAAGTAATATGAAATGCTAATATGTAAAGGATATTCAGAATATAATATAATTATTATTCTCTCGAGTTTTTACTTTCAAAATGCTCTACTGTGAAATCGTGATTTTACAGTAGACCGTTTACTCTTTGCTGTCGTCGATATTAAAGTCATACGAACCACATGAAACAAATAATGTATATGTAAAATTTTATTACTTTCCTCTTGAAGCGTAAAAAAATTCGCAGACTCTTTGAACCTCTCCTCTGAAAAGTTGTCATTTTGCAGATGTGCTCTTATGACACTGAGAGGGTGCGATTCTTAACGTGGTAGAGTGCGATGCGTATTGAATTTCGTATGAAGCGTACGGTGCTAACGCGTTCTTATCTTTTAATAGATCTTTGTCAGTATAGAAGTGAAACATTTATCAAACCCGGTCGTCTTCATAATTACTCGGTGTTCCAAGATGAATTCAACCATATGTGATTGATGACACGCTTTCGTTGAGGAATTTATAAATGAACATGGACGTAATTTAGTTTAGTTGCCGTTACAGGAGTGCTTTTGGTGTTTTTGGTGTTAGATCATTAAAATAAGTTGTCTATAGTAACTTTTATGTCTATTCTAACCTTTATGTCAATGTTATTTTATGTAATTGTGTTCTTTGTTTACTTGCCTAAGTCTGATTTTAAAATCACTGTTTCCACGTATCACTTTGTAACCACACTACAGCGATAAAAGATTGGGCACAACGAATGATGAGCAAATTTCTATGAAACTTGGTTCGTAAGATTAACAGTGATGTAACTAGGGCTGGTTTTTGGTTAGGGGGTTGTTTAGTCGATATAGTGATAATATTTTCAATAATAATACTATAAAAATTCCTCAGACAGAGATACATAAAATAAAAAGGAAAAAATAAATTCATATGATTGAGTATGGACTGTTTTGTGCAAAACTATCTAACAAAAAGTTTATCTCATTTTGAGTTAAGTAGATATCTTTTAGAGTGCAACACTATTGTAATAGCAGTGCTATATATTATTTCTGTTGAACTAGCGCCCATTTTGACTCGTCATTCTTTATTATGAAAACGCATAGTACCACAATTTCACTTTCAACCAGCTGTCGTCAAAATGTAGATGATATCAAAAAATCGCAGCCTTTATTTTCGTATCGTGGCTCCCACAACGAAATCTCTTTTGTAATATAGTAAAATTATCTTTCCTAAGTTTAAAACTTACATTAAACGTATTTTAATTACCAAGTCATATTACACAATTGAAAAATACCTATATCATTTAAGTTTATTTGAAAAGAGCAATCTCTAGAGTTTCTTGCTCGTTCTTCTTAGGAAGTGAGCACAGTGAACGAGCTGTAGCTTAAAAAAGCTTTCAAGTGTAAATTAATTTTACCTATGGAATAAATGATTGTTTGACTTTGACTTTATAGTTGCCACGCAATTTCGAAGCGTGGTTTGGAATTTATTTTTTTCCATCCTCTAAGTTTAGAAGTGATGCGTGCAAACTGTGCACTGTACTGTACACTGAAAGTTGGACAAACGATTTGGTACACTTGCTATCATAAAGCCACACGTGGTCCTACATTAAAAGCTGTTGTTGTTTTGCAAGGAATAAATGATTTCTATTTCTATTTCTATTTCTATAAAAGTCCTTTTATCTCACGAAAGTCTACTAATTTCGATTGTAGAATCTTTTAACTTCTTGGTTAAGTTAAACCTCTTTTGTGGTTGCCACTACATCATTTATAATCGTGGTTGAGTAGTGATTCGTGTAAGCTCTCGTAGTTATAACTACGCATAAAGTAAGACAAACTATTTCGTACCCCGACTATAATAAAGCCACACGTGATCATGCATTAAAACTCCTTTTATCACATAAAAGTCATAAAAATAATTATGAACTACTTCAAACAAATTATGTGTATATGAAATTTTATAACTCTCCTATTTAAGCATAAATAAGTTATCTACTAATTTTTAGAATTTTGTAACTTCTCGGTAAAGTTGTCATTTTGCGGATGTGGCCTTATTACACCAAAGGTGCGATATAAGCTTTTATCACGGCTTTACAACCACTGGAAAGCACCTCGTGTAATTTCCTTAGTTAGTTATAAAAAACACTCGCGCAAATAAATCACAAACATTATAGTTATACAAATGCAATGCAATGTAGCGCAAGCTTTATATTGTAACATTTATTGTGCGATGTTTTACTGCATATGAATTTATACCTTTAGTACATTATTGTGCCAAAACACGCAACATTTATTGTATAACATTGTGCTAGTCTAATAATTATTAGAAACCAAATTACTTGTTACTGTCGTCTCTTAATCAAAGTCTGAAATATAAAAATCAGAGTAGGCTCTCTAAAATGTAGCTGTAGTCTGAATAGTTCAATATATTATTTATAAATATATATATATTTTTTATATGAGTGTTGACCAATGAAAAAAAATTAGTAAATACTAGTACACATAGCTGCTATTAGATATTATTCATGTCAATTACAGAAATATCAAGAGAATAAATAAATATATATCATGATTTTACCTATAGTCGTTGGGTTTTATTTATAGAAATAACAGTAAAGCTCTTCTTGAATGAATGAAAGAATGAATGAATGATATATTTCATCTTTCAATTTTCAGGCACGCCTCAAATAACTTATAGTCTGGGAAATGGACCCGTATACTAAGCTATAGATTTCTATATTGGACCGGCAATAATTGAATGTCAGACCGGAGTAGTAGCGAAACCCCCTTAGGAGTAATTTATCAGACGTAACACTAAAAATATTTTTTTTGTTACAAAGCAGAACTTTTTTATAATATCAAGTGACGCAACGAACAAGTCGTGCGCCTGGTGGTAAGCTACACTCCTGTCCATGACGGTTGCAGTGTCCTCAGAGCTTTAAATCGGAAAGATCTGAGGGGCACTGCGCCCGTCACCCTGAAACATAAGTTGACAAGTCCTGTGTGCCTGTTATTTCACCAGCACCCTTACCCTTTAAAACCGGAACACAGTAATGCTGACATTACTGCTTGGCAGTATGTACTACGTAGAAATAGGTGAGGCGGCGGTATGTACTTCCCTGGACAAACTCTTTCACATGGAGCTCTACTGCTACAAAAACTACATGTAATATGACGACCTGAGTGGCGCAACGGATTGCACCGTGGGCATTCGATTCTCTGTGATTAATTTGTTAAATGAACTTTCCTAAGTTTGATTATTCTGGGATGAATTATGTTAGTCTAGTTAAGAACAGTAGGGCTAGGCTAGCACGGCAAGGCGCGACTTGTGCGAGAGCGACATAAAGCCCCAGTAATTAATAGATTCAGGCGTTACTTTGCGGAAGTCCATGTTAATAAAAATGGAAGTAAATGAATTTGCTACTCCGCGAATCCAGTAAAGGTTAAATCGTGCTAAAGAACTGCGCTTGTGTTGAATATTTTTTCGTGCATTTAATTATCCCACCCTCCCTCCGGGGCTGTTGACTCTCGGCCGAGAGTCAACAGCCCCTGAGGATGCCTCGTGGAGGGGCGAAACACGTGTCGAGGATATTTTTGGTGGTGGTTTGTGACTGTAGTTGCGCTTGTGTTATTTATTTTATTAATTTTATGCGGAGGGAGGGTGAGATAATAAGCTGCATGAAAAAGCATGCAACACAAGCGCAGCTATTTTGCACGATTTAACCTTCACTGGATTGGCGCAGTAGCAAATTAATTTACTTCCACTTGATAAAGCGCGAGATCTCTGTGCTAGAATAGCTATACCTCACGCTTTATGTCGCTCTTGCGCTCGTCGCGCCCTGTCGTGCTAGCCCTACAGGTAATTGGTGTACCCTGTATTTATTGTTCTGTGGTTTAACCTACCGTTTTTCGGTGAAGGAAATCATTGGAATCCTGTATGTCGAAGAAGGTTCACAACCGTCAGGAAACGTGTGAAGTCCCCTCGTAAACCCTCGTCTTCCAAGCCGTACCTGACAGTGGGACGTATAAAATTTGGATTGATGATGAAATATCTTTTTTTAACCGATTTTTTTTATTGTATGTGACGCGATAACGGCATTTGTGAACCGATTTTGATGATTCTTTTTTGTTGGAAAGAGGGTAACATCAGTATTGGTCCCATTTAAATTTGAAGAAAATGTTCACCTCTAAGTGTGGCAAACTAGAGAATGAATCCGGTTTCGTGCACTTTCGGTAACCGATTAAATGAAACTTGGCAAAAAGATGTAAGATGTAATTCCACGAACTTTTGAGGTCGGTTTTTTAGTACTCTGTACTGAGATTATATGATACCAAGTGACTGAACGAACAAGTCGTGAGCGTGGTGGTAAATGACACGCACTCAGAACTTTAAATCTCAAAGATCTGATTCAAAACCGTTGCGCAATAATACTTACATTGTACTGCTTGGCGGCAGAAATAGGTAAGATGGTAGTAGATGCTTCCCTGGACGAACAGTAGATACTTCCCTGGACGAACACTTTTACAAGGAGCTCTATTGCTACCAAGTGAATAATTTAATAACAAAATGTTGCGAGTTCTAATTATCATCTCGGTGGCGTAGCTGTGATAAAGTTTTGTTAGTAAAATGCCCTTTAGAGCAAATAATATCTGATAGTTGGACACTGTCTACCATTAATTCATTGACATACAATTATTGTTGCATTCACAACTCCTGATAGATATGAATACAAGTATTCGGCAAAAGATTGTAATTTTCGTGAACATTGCTTTTATGCATTCCAACTATATACTGCCACTTTGATTGGTAACACTTCCGTTTTGTCGCAGGAAAAAACGTACCGTATTTAATTTTTGGTGACAAAGGGGCATGTACAACCCTTTATGATGGTGGTGGATATATATATTGTATGGGTTTTAATTTTATTTTCACATGAGTAGTGAAAGTTTGTAAAAAAACATGAAATATGAAAAATACCTTCTCATGACGTCGGTGTTATTATCTCAAGCGGTTTTGGTGGATTAAAGTATAAAACAATTATTAACTTTAAATTTTTATTGAATGTCAGAATGTTTGCCCACCATGTAATCATAGATTACTCATAGATGGCGCTCCGGCTAAAAAGTCGTTGAAAACCAAATACAAAGATCCGACAACTAGCACATAGAAAAACTCGTGAAATCCGATGGCTCGTTCCATGGCTTAGTTGGCATAGCGTCTGGCATGATTTGCTAGGAGACGTCGTCGGTTCGAATCCGGCCGGATCGAAGGAATTTTTTCTATGTGTTCAATCTTTGTAGTAATAATAAATAAATAAATAACTCACACACTCATCATAGCCCCGCACTAGGGAAAACCCTGTGTCGCGGGTGCCATGGACACACACATAGACAACCACAAATTACACCCAAAACTCACGAGAGAAATAATTGTAGGCCATACAACTATTTCTCCCGGCCCGGGAATCGAACTTGGGACCTCTGCGTGGCAGTCCGGCATGGTAACCGTTCGGCCACGGAGGCAGATAATTATTAACATTTTCACAAATTGGAGAGAAACTTCACGGTACTATATTATTCTACGTTTTCATGCGGATTCTTCTATATTCTACAACTAATTTTACTGAAATCTGGAATTAGAGATTAGGAGTGTAATCTAAACAATTAATAATTTCTGTGTCATTTCAAAAAACAATACGAGTATAATATTTCTAAAGAAGTGCCAAGTAACACATGTTTAATAGAATGGAAAAAATATACATTTGGACGGTTTAAATTTATTTTAAACGTCTACTACAATGAAAAAAATCTGCTAAAATTATACAAAAATTGCAACCTGTGGAATTGACCCATACCAGGTTCCCCACATCTCATCTGGGTTTCTATTTACTCGAAATCCAACGTCGAGTAGTGGAGACAATACAGTTATTCCAGGGTGAAATTCAGCTCAATGGTATAGAAAAGTGATATATGTCATGGATTAACACATGTTTCTGATGAAAGCACTGTGCAATACAGCTGATCGATTAACCATTAATATGCTACATTTACTTCCACGAAACATTTGGTATCCTCCATACAACATTTATCTTCTTAGATTTATGCCTCAACAACTCCATCAAAAAAACAGTCGCCGCCAGAGAAAATCCTAATAGCAGACAAAGCAAACAGCTCATCATTTGATGACGCGTCAATGGTGATGGATCATTAGATCTTATGGAGCAGGAGCGTGGTTTCGGAATAGTTTTTTCTAACAACCCTGACTCTATCAATCTTGGTAACCAAACTGTTAAAGATCTCTTGAACGGTGAATACATTTTCATCCAAATAACCAATGGCACTGTCATTATAGAATCGGGAAGTACATGCCCACACTCCTCCTCTTTCTTATCTAAATAGAAGCAATACGCCAAAGCATATTCCAAAGATGTTGCAAGGACAAACTTCTGCTTTCTATCTAAAACTTCGTGAAATAATTCCTCAAATTTGTCCTCCGATATTATTTGGAAACCCTCTTTAATGAATTGATCGTATTCGAAATAACCGAACATACCAGCTCGACCACCGAATTTGTATCCATGATCAATTGCTTCTTTCAAATCTGCATAGTTACCAATATACGTCTCTGTCTTCAATGCTCCAATCAGAACGCTTTGATAAACACTCCTTATTACGAAAGTGAACCATATCCAAAGTCCAACAATATAAAAATCTCTGAACCGTTTGGGGTCTACTTTTATTGGCTGTCCCAGCATTACTCCCCAGATTCTAATAGCTACATTTTGTACCTTATCTATGTTTTTGAAATATTTGTAGCAGAATTTTTTAACAGACTTCATTTTTAAAGTAAAAGGGAGTGATGTTATGAAGAAAAGTACGATCAGGAGAATAAGCCACAGATATCCGTTTAAAGGAGATAATAATCGCCACCACACAGGTCCTGTGTATACTGGTGGAGCCAACCAGGCTAATCTCACTCTGAAATACGGGACTGAGTAATCTAAAAGCCCAAGTCTATCAATTCCCAAAGGAATGCTGCAAGTCGATAGATTTGCTATACCATTTACGACGTCGTTCAAAGAATCTGACCAATTCTTAGCGCGATCAGAATCTATGCTTACGTAATCTCTGTTAGAAATTATTGGAGTAAAGTTCATAACGTCTCTTAGCAATCTGATCATTGTGCGTTTAACTAATTGCAAAGCAATTTTCTGTTCTGTGGAAGGGTGGTAGAGTTTATTTGTGGATATGTATAAAGGACATCCTTTCATATTCTTCATTTTGTTTGGGTATATTTGATTTACATTTTTATTTTTCCAATATCCAATAAGAGTTGGGTCAGTGTTTTGACAATTCAGATGGTTCTTGTAGGGAAAATAAGTATATATACCGGTTTTATTCCGTACATTAGTCACTATAACAGCATTTGTGGCGTGATAACTCCATAAAATATTCGTAATTCGGTCAATTCTATGTGAATTACCAAGTAGTATTATTAAGAATTTTGCTCCGCTACTTAATAATGTCCTTCCTTTCAAATCTGGTCTCAACATACCAAGCAATTTTGTAAAAGAATTATAAGACTCGACTATAACTACAACTTGCCTTGGCGGTTGTTCTACTTTTTTGGTTTCCACTATAACTGTGCCATTATAACCTCTCAGAAAAATATCAACTAGATCTCCTTCAACATCTTTTGATATAACAGCAGTGTTTTTTAAATAATTAAAGTTTTCGTTTGCAATTTCTGAAGCACTGTTTATCAATGTTCTCTGTGCAATATTTTCGCGAGGTATACTTATTGTAGTCAAAGTACATTGGAAAGTTACTAAAATAAGACAAGCATGAAACCAAGGCATTATGCCAGCCGAATTCCAACGTACCCAAGTAAAGCTTTGTTCAACGCCTTCACAATGAGGTCTAGATGGAACGTGCCATTTTAAATCGTAATTACAGTGAATAATAAATCACCATATTGTTTTCGAATTGCCGTACATTACGGATGCATTTATATTCAGCCTATTAATCATTCAAAATGTGGTGTCGCCACCTTTGAGGGGACTACGGCGAAGCCATAAAACAGTAATGTTTTTCCACGTGTATATATGTACAGACATAAGGTATATAGTCTAACCAGTGAGGTGAATGGTCTTAATCACATGAGTTATTCGTAGATTCATAGTAACTACGAGAGTATTACAAGATACATGACATCATGATAAATCAATATGATGAACACTAAAAGATATTTGAGAGTATTAACAATTTTTATGACTTTTAAATTATGTTTAGGAAATGAAACTATTTTTCCGGATTTAAATAGCGTTTATTTGTTTTTTCAAACAAACCAACGTTTCGAGCCCTTTACAGGTATTATGTTTACGTTTAGGTGACATCTTAGAGGATAGAAAAAAATGACATAAACATGATACTCACACTGACATCTAAATAATTTCAAAATAGAATAGTGCGTTTCAGAAGTTTCAGAATTCAAACACGGTCGTGTGAATCTCAGTGACGAATTTCGTGATGGTCTCCCATCCACGGCTGTGAACAACAAATATATCGCTGCTGTGCGCCTTATGATCAAAACAGACAGGCATGTGACATCCCATGAGATTCGGGCATCTTTAGGTATAGGCATGATTCAAATACAATCAATACTACACAAACATTTGAGTGCGAAAAAGAAGTGCTCTCGGTGGATCCTACACAATTTGATGCTCAAGAAACGGATCGCGTCACTTGGTGCAATGCCATGCTTACCAGATTCAACGAAGGGGCGTCAAATTTGGTGTGAGACATAGTAACAGGTGACGAAACATGAATTTATAGTTACGATCCTAAAACAAAGCAGCAGTCTAGCGTATGAGTCTTTCGAGATGAGCCGAAACCAGCCAAAGTGGCGCGCCTGCAGAGTGCCTCTAAGCGGATCATTGCTTCTTTTTTAAATAAAACTGGACACGTGGCTACTGTTACTTTGGAGAATCGTTGTACCGTGAATAGTGATTGGTACACGATCATTTGTTTGCCGGAAGCTATTGACAAACTCCGTAAAAATAACCGTTAACACCGTATCATCTTGCACCACGATAATGCTAGTTCTCACACGGCCAGACAGACAAATGAATTTTCGAAGGTGAACAATGTTGACCTTATGAGCCATCCCGCGCATAGTCCCGACCTGGCCACTTTGTGACTTTTATTTATTTCCAAAAATTAAGAACCAGTTACGCGGTCGACGATTTTCATCACCCGAAGAGGCTGTCGAAGAGTATGAAGATTGTCACGGAGGAGTGGCATATATGTATTCAAAATTTGTTCATTCGTATGAAAAAGTGCATTAACGCTGACGGAGAATATTCTGAGAAACAATAAATTAATTTCTGACCATTTATAGTATTTTTTTTCTTATTCATTCCGGAAACTTATAGTGCGCCACACGTACATATTGCATATTGATATTTTTATACCAGTATCGTAGATTGGTATTTCGATTATGGGTATAATTATGAAATTGAAATAAAATGATGAAGAATTCTGAATTTGAAGCACTTGTTCGAACTACCATAAACACTATAATAAATATGTCTACTATTTGAAGTTAATTTTTAAAGTTCTAACAAAAAAAAAATTTTTAAGTTCTAACACCGATTCGGTATGATTTTCGACGACTTCGACGACCGGTTCGGTGTTAGAACTGAAGTTCTATAATGAATGGCGTGTGTGACAACCGCTCCGTGTAACGCGAGTGCACCGCGAGATATGAGAATGTGTGCGTCCGTACAAGGCGCGTTGCAACTTTATTTCAAGTCACACTATTTGTTTCATTATACTATGCTATATTGTACTATATGTATACATTAGTAAGAAAAGCGCCAAAGGCCGCGTGGCGGGAGATTAGGTATTCCATTGTTTGATATTCATTAAATTTCGAGCTCTCTCCATTCAAACGAAGTTTAATCCTGTTTTGGGTATTAAGTAACTAACCAGAATCATTGAAATTCAGTCGACACGACCTTAAAAACTAACAAAGTTTGTGGTTTGTCAGATTTACCTTAAATCATCGTAATTATCATGCGTCCCAATGCTGGGCACGAGTCTCTTGTCAGACAAGGGTTTAGGCCATACCCCGTTACGCTGCTGCCCCATGGGATGGGGACATCATATGTTTTGCGAGGGTTGTGAACTTTCTTCAACGTGCAGGTTAAGCTACCACAGCTTCAAATTAAATTATATTATAATTATTAATACAAAGATTGCACTTAGAGAAAATCCTTCGATTCAGCTGGATTCGAAGCGACGTCTTCAAGCAAACCATGCCAGACGCTATGCCCCAGTGCTTCTTGCACGGTTTGATATCGGTTCAAATCCGGCCGGATTGAAAGATTTTTCTGTAAGTGTTCGATCGATTCGATCTTTGTATTAATAATTATAACTAACTAGTGGAGTAATTTCACAAAAAAATAATTGAATATCAATTCAATAAAAAAAATAAATTAAATTATATTGTTTAAAAATTACGCCAGTTCAATAACATTTCACATTTTGTTCAAACATAGTGACATTTTGGAAAACTTAAAAAAAATATATATATTAAAAAGTTACATCTACACTACAAGTTACCTAACGACCATTCGCTTAACTTCGCTAGTAAATTTTGCATAAAATGGTCGTTTGTTAGTAACGCAAGCCTTATTTACATAGTGATGCCTCTTTTTCAGTGTATCGTAAACATCCTGCATAATTTTATAGTCTCATAACTATTCTGATATCAAAACGTACATAATCGAGGAATGCAGTATGAGTAGATCGCTTCATGACGATTATACTTAACATATTCGGACGTGAATCATGCTCTTGCCTTTTCATGCGCTGTGGCAGATTCTTTCTCATACATACGCACACACAGTCATGCACGCAAGCACGCACATACTTCCGTGTTTGAGTCCATTTTTGTAATTTTTTTTTTGTTAAATTTTTATGTTGTACTTGTATAATAGCTGCCTAAACTTATATTGCAATCTGTGATTGCAATATATAACTTATAACGAACTCTTTTATATGCTACTGCTACTAAAAACCTATGACTCTCTTCTTTTTGCGTGGTGGGTAAAAAAGAAGAAGGAGAAACAAATTTGAAGAAATGTGGAAAGCTATTATATCAACGCTGGAAAGGTAAAACGTCTAACGTGCATTTCGTCACTTAGCAGACAACACCGCTCAACTGGAAAATTGGCGATTTTTATTTTTGAACGTTGCTGAAGTTCAAATAAAACGTGAATATTAATAACTATTTTACAACCAACTCATATACAATTATGGTTATACATAAATAGAACACTTATTACCAATATTAGATTAGAAAATCTTGTATGCAAAAATATTAGTGCAGTTTTTTACTCTCCTTTAAAATTACTTCAAAGTACCTATGCGGTATTGTTTGCCAAGAGACGATTTGCAAAATATTACAATTTAAAATATTTTTTTAAGAAAAATCCTCCAAACTCCAAATATTATTCTTTCTATGGAAAACTAGAAAGTTTTAGATTTTCCGTATAACAAATAAAATTACAGCTAATTTTTTTTTTCTACAAAAGTACTTTATATCGCTCTTCCATACTATTTTCCAACTACACATTAGACTTTTACTTTCCAGCGTTGATATAGTTTCTTTTTTTATTAGTCGTTTTTCTCTTAAAGTAATACCGTGTACGTTCGTACAAATACTTCAATAGTTATCGTTGCGTTCGTATAAATATTTTATATACGTAAATATGGTGAATCTTATAAAGAAAGGGTAATTTGCACGGTTGAGAAATCTTGCGTGGACAACATCGAACCTCCGCCATTATGAACTCTGTAGGATTCTATTCAGCTGAATTGTTTAAATACATTATAACTGTGGATTCTTGTTCCCGGACTTGTGCGGAAAGTTATTGTTCTAACAGTTTCATTAGATATTAGAAATTCTATTATCACTGATGAAATATTCGTTGTAGAATGCCTTACCAAGTTCATAAAGCTTCAATGCGACCCGCAGAAAGCGTTGCCTAGCAACCGGCAAACAAAAGCATCGTAAACAAAGAACGCGGTTCCATCTCGATATTGTTTTGTTATTGTTAATCAAGTGCAAACGAGACGTAACGTGGCAAATTAAAATTGACGTATTAAAGGAAAATTCGGCGTTAATTCATTATAGTGACGCGCGTTTGCCAGTGGAATTAAGCGGGTGTGACCACCGTAATTGACTATAAAAAGACGCAAACAAAGCGTTTATTACAGTTTTGTTTATATAGTACCAGTGTTTATTAAGGCAATTAGGGGAAAATTATAGTTATATTTAGTAATTATTGAATGAGATGTTAATGAACGTTGGATAATCTTTTTTCTTATGATAGTGACGGAACAAAACGATTATAGTGTTGCAGTGTCACTCAAAGCTTTATTTTTTTTATGACACTAAGTGACGGGATGAACAAGTCGTGCACCTGGTGGTAAGCGACACGCCTGTCCATAAACAGTAAATGAATAAATAATTACGCACACACTCATAGCCCCGCATTAGGGCAACCGAATGAAACTCACGAGAGAAATAAATATAGGTCATACAAATATTTCTCCCGGCCCGGGAAACGAACCCGGGACCTCTGCGTGGTAGTCCAGGGTGGTAACCATTCGGCCACAGAGGCAGGAAACTATCTTCATTCTCTCATTTCCCACTATAACAGTGAGATTTGTGATGCTAGTGACATCGTTATAACCTTCGTCTTGGATATACTTATACACCTTAAGTACTTATAAGACCTGACCTTTGATTCATTAATTGTTGTATAATTTTATCAATTATTACAGACAA